GTGGTGTATTTCAGAATATATCCCTCTTTACTCTACAAACACTGCAAAAATAAGGGGTCACATTGCTCAAGATACATTGTATTCATAAGCTGCCACTTATGAACAGAAATTCCTCTGTACAAGCACTTAAAGAGAATAAAAAATAATCCCTAAGTTACTCCATTGATTTAGTTCACATATTCCAATCAAGAGCCCGTATCAAGCTCTTCCAAGAGCACTGTGCTATAGGATGTCATAAGCAAAATCACTGGAAATGAAATCTAAAAAGAAATATACATTATTTTCTACTGCAGTCTTTTACTTTTAAACCTGATTAAGCTGAAGTGCAGTTTAGTACTCCTATATTTACGGCAAAAAAAGTGAAAGATACAATGAGCTGTAGTTTAAAAAATATAGAAATCTTTATCTGATACTGAAATTGAATGTAATAAGGCACAAATATTTCCTTACCAAAAACACTATTAATACAGAAAAATCAATTAAATTGATTTGTAGAAAATTGTGTTCCTATCAAATGAAGTCAAATGTACATGGTGATTTGAAATACTGTTTTTAAATGCAGCATTTCTTTACCAGATACCTTTAATAAATAGTCTCAGATAACAAATAAATACATTGGCTCTTTTTAGAAAGCACACATCACAAGAAAGCAAATAAGAGAAGGGGAATGTAGTTTATTACATTTGGTTTTAGGATCTGAAATTTAAAAGCAGAAAATTAAGTGAGACTATTTCTCTTTCTAATCCATTTAAATTGATGGTGGAAGAGGGGTGTTTACTAATGAGTGGAAATTTGAATAAAGGTTGCTTTAGGCTTTTAGATCTGAGGATGCACTTTAGAATTCCATGAGTCATTACCATTGCATAGCAAAGCTTTTTTTCATAATAAGAAGCTTAAGACCCACAACACTTCCAAGAACACATCTACTAAAATAAGTAAGGTATATGACTTAACTAGTTTGAGGTAAAGCATTCTTTGAGACCTATTTAAAATTTATATGAATGAGACTAAATAAAATAAAAATAAAATAATTTTATTATGAATGACAACAAATGCTTCCTTAGCAAAGATTGCATTATTTGTGCTTTATATTTTTACTGAATTAAGGTGCAATATAAAATTTAAATGAGCAAGAGAAACTAAATATTATATATTAATCTCAAAACATTAGTCTCATTACCATTTCTTCATTTGGGATTGTATCCTCCTGACCTTAATCATCAAGACCAGTGTAAGATATTTTTTCTTGTTGTCCCTTTTCCTAATATTCACAGTGTACTTATGTTTGGTAACTGATGAACAGGTTGTAAATCTTTCCTAACAATATTGAAATGAAAACTGAAAAGTGGAGTTTTTAATCTATATTTTATATGATGTCCAAGAAAATATTTACATATCTATTTTATAATTATTGGGAATATTCTAATAGTGGAATTCAATTTCTTTTAGTAACATCTTATTCACTCTATGTGAATAAAGAAAAGAGAACATTTCCATTTAACTTCTAAAATTTTGTTTTGATTAGATTTCAGATAGACTAAACTGGAATTTCAGTCATGCAATAAGGTAAAAGTTTTTACCATGGGGCTGGGAAGATGGCTCAGTGGTAGAGTGCTTGCCTTGCATGCTCAAGGCCTTGGGTTTGATTCCTCAGCACCACATAAGCAAAAAGAAAAAAGCCAGAAGTGGTGCTGTGGCTCAAGTGATAGAGCGCTAGCCTTGAGCTGAAGAGCTCAGGGACAGCGCCCGGACCGAGTTCAGGCCCCATGACCAGACCCAAAAAAAAAAAAAAAAAAAAAAGTTTTTACTATGATTCCTCCAAAACCAAAATCCACTTGTGATTTGTGGATGAAGAAAACTGTCAAAATAAAACAAGGCTCTGTATCTATATTATCTGCTCTAATAAGTACCAGGTATATGTTAGTTAAATTTAAATGAACATTAATTAAATTTCTGCAATATTAAAATGATAATAGCTCATCAGCTCACTAACCATGATTCAAACACTTAATATCCACAATGTACAATGACTACCATATTGGATAGTCCAATAACATAATTTCATCCTTGCAGAAAATCTAATTGGACCAAAATTTAAAATTGCTTTGTTTAATCCTCAGATCTCAACCTCCCGAGTAATAAGCATTAATAAGTAATAATACATACAAATATCTAGCTTACATTTGTTCCTACCATAGCTGCAGACATTATATGTGTCAAAGCTGATGTGAGGGAAAGTGGTACTATGATGCAGTAAAAGGATGCCAAGAAGTTGGTAAACCTCCTGAAATGCACAGGTATGGCTAGTTCCAACAAAGCATTAGGATTCAATAGTGCCAAAGCTGAGAAATCCTGGCCTACGTTTCTATAGACCAAGATCATATTTAGCGTGTCTTCCCAAAGAAAATTTGTTGTATCCTAAGTCCTTACCTCCCCCTGACCAATTAAAAGATTAGTATGAACCATCCTCCCAAGAAAACAAAACATCCCATGAGAATTCCCCACAAAGACATCCATAAATTAAAATGTTTTGCTACCATAAATTCTTGTTGTTTTAGAGGAAACATTCTTCTATTAGTGAGATGAACTTTAGATTATGTCTGATGTGAGGGATTCATAGCTTTTATTTGATTTTTTTCATACCTTTGCATACATCTCTCTGCTTAAAAAAGTATTTTGAGATAAATAAAACAAGGCAAAGAACATGACAATAATTTTTGTAAAACAATTATAAAATATTCTATGAATATATGAGGTGTATGTGAATACACAGGAAAATAATGATTTACATACTGGATACATACGAAGGCAAAGGAGAGTGCTCTTTATCAGGAGGAGCAGACATATGTGAAATGTACTTTACAAATATAATTGTGGTGGAAAGTTACATTTTAAATGTTTAAATAGCAGAGCATTTACCAACCATCTGAAGTGGAGCAAATGAAAGTGAAATTAAAAGCATGAGAAGATTCATTACTTAATATGATATTTCCATTCTAGAAGAGGCAATGCTAGTAAGTGAGAAAATAATGACAGTTTCATAAAGTATTAAATCTGCTGGAAATAGTTAACAAACAGGAGATAGGTAAAAGGAAACAATCTCTTACAGACATCCTCTTATAGAGGCCAGGGCTGGGACAGGGAAATTTGTGACTCATCTGGGTTCAGATGGTACTGAAAGCAACATGAAAAGATGGGATCAAAGCACTGAGTGTGATTAGATCGTTAATAACTCCTTCCAACGCTTATGGGACAGACTATGGATAAGGGACCCACCAAGAGAGCTGAAGAAGAAAGCCCACTTGGAAAATAGTGATGAAGATAAAAGACTAAGGATTGACTGAGGAACTGGTTCCGGGAAATCTGTGAATCTTTCCAAAGCTATATGAAAATGATGAAAGTTTGGTTACCTGAGATGTGGCAAGAGGATGCAGAAATAAAAGGTCAGGACAACTCTTCCAGTGTCACTGGAAGGTAAGATGTGGGGGTGTGTAGTCAGATGGGGCTGCACCACCTCCATGAAGGATCCACCTTCATGAATACTACTAACCCTCTCCATCCTCTTGTGGAGATACAGCAGCCCTCCCCTGTAGTGTAGTAACAACATGCCATGCTGGTAAGGCAGGCTAGGCCATCACCAGATCTGTGCTCAGGTCTTTGACTTTCCACCTCCAGAATGGTGAAAGATAAATTTCTGTTCTTTTTAAAGCATTTGAACTCTGGTATCTTGCATCCATAACATATGACAAGGCACAATGCCCAAGAGTACTATTTGAAATTATTCCACTGCATTTTGTTAAAATCAATATAAACTCTTATTCTATCAGCTGTGTCCTAGGCCAAATATCCACAGCTGGCAAATATATATATATATACATATATATATATATGTAATATTCCCAAACATGCCTTTTCCACTGCATTAGCTATTGTATGTAACACCAAGTAAGATATGAACTGATAATCATTATGCTCTTCTTTTCTCATAACTCAATTCAATAAAACATCGACATTTTTACACTAATCTAAAATGAGAAAGAAAAAGTCTTCGTTTTCTTAGATTTTTGAATATTTAAACCCAAAAGTAACTTAAACATTTATAATGTAAACAAAATGCAAACTTAAAATCTAGGAATATAGCACTCAATTCTTAATAACAAACATCAGAGAAATCAACAAAGTATATTTTTCCCTAACTACAGATGTAGGCATGAAACAAACCAGTCAAAAAGATCATGCAAATAGATCAATTATAGGAATAATAAGTTAGTTTCCTTTTAATTATAACCTTCCTTTTTTAGCCACTATTATCCAGATAGGATACATTATTTCTACCCTTAATGTGTTAATTAAAATGGCAAAAGCCTACAGTTTCCAAGGCTTTTGCAAACATTGGGCCATCAATTGTCACCACCATGTCTCTTCTCTGTACTTCTTTTCTACAAGTGTAGTGGATGACTAAAAAAGTCATCAAGACTTTAGAATAAGACATCACATTTCCTTACTTTAAATAAAATAGCTAAGATTGGTAGCAAAATATATGCTCATGTAGCAAAACCACTCTGGAAAAATCATCACTTAGTATCTTCTCCATTTTTGTCACACCTTGATCTTTACCCAAAAGAAAAACACTCAAATGTTTTAATCAGATGTAAGATGTAAACTCTTCAGTCAAAAAAAAATGGCCTGTGAAACCAAAGCTACAAATCACATCACAGAAACCCAAACGACAGTCCTCTAGCATTCCTCTAACACCTTCCAAATTTGAGGAATAAAACATGAATGCATTTGGATTTCAATGTCATAAGACACAGTCAGTTTAGATTTGAACATACGAATTAAATTTAAAAGCAATAAAATGGATGACCTGAGTCCTCAAAAGAAAAAAATATCAATGCACATTTAAAACATGGACGTGAAGTTAGAAGTTAGGTTGTTTTGTTAGACCTGGACTCCTTGGTTTTAATTATTTTATTTACTGTTTAAGCTGAAAGGCTTACCGTCTTGCTGGCCATGCAGTGTCTGAGGACTTTGCATTCTCTCCTCAAGATTGGAGCTAAGGTCAGAGTTCACAGCCGACATCCGTGTTGAATCACTCATGTCAAACTCATCACTTTCTATTGAACTTTCATCCTGAAAACAGTTTTAAAACAAGTGAATTCAAAGAAGAGTGATTTTACCTAAATATCCACTTACAGTTTAGTCAGTAAGATGTACAGAACTCAGTAAAATATGCTATATACTAACAATCAACTGAAATAACCACTAATACTTTATTCTCTTCAAAGAATTTCAAGACTTGTGAATAATGAAACAGGCATATATAGATGAAATTATATACATTCTTTTAAAGATAAAATAATATGTGCAGGGGAAATAGAATTAGCCTGAATAATGAAAAGAATGAAAAGTTTTGTAAATATCTCCTAGAAGATTCAGTCTAAAACTGGACAAAAATGGAACTATAAATTCTAATTATAAAATAAATTAGCTGACAAAGCATTATACACAAAACATTATAGAATACAGTGAGAAAAAAGAAGACTTCTTAAAAACTTTTCATTAGGCAAATAGTAAAGAATCTACTAATAGGCAAATGTGCATGTTTTGATCCCAAATTTGGTATTTTTATTCCATCCTATCTTTCTCACAGATAGTATATAAATTATGCTACAACCACAAAGAGGAATCTAGACAAAATTGTGCAAGATTATTTGCTAAAGTTCAATTCATAAAATGTCTAAATTATCAAAAGTTGGATTTCCAAATGGCCAATGCCTGTAACCCTGTCCAATAACAAGAAACTAAACGTAAAATACTGTATAGTTGTTTTTTGAGGCAAACTCCTTTTGGGGAATTGATTTTAGGCAAATGACACATATGTAACAAGTTTTAAGAAACCTGTGCGAAAATAAATGTCTCAACACAAAACAGGAGGTTTGACTTCTATAAATGTTTGATCTTTAAGTCTAACACTTACGTACTAATTAGCAGTTATTTATGCTTCCAACACTGTTCTTCAATATCTGCTCACCCACTCCAACACAATCACAACATATAAAGTGCAAACTGGAATTTATTATTTTATGTATGATTAAACTGGGGCACATAGTAGTAAAATAATCATCTCAAGTATTATACATAAAAACATGATCTATAAGAAGCCCTCAAAAATTAGGGAATTATGTTTTTTTAAATCACTTTCTGAGTAGGTATTCTACCACCTTACCACTAGCTATCCATGCTCCTGATCCTTTTTCCTCTGGTTTTAAGAGAGTATCTCATTTCTTGCGAGGGCTGCAGGTGGACACGATCCTCATATTTTCAGCTTCCTTTCATAGGTGGGAGGAAGCCCAGTCTCCTAGATTTTTCTACCCAAGCTGGCCTGGCACCATTATTCTCCTGACCTCAGCCTCCAAATAGCTAGGTATAAAACACCAGCACGAAGCTAGTAAATTCTTTGCTTTGAAAATAACATGTTATCAGCAAAGAAGCTGCCACAGTCAGCTGAGAGGAACGCTTTCATAGACTAACAAATTAACATTCCCAGAAGGGAATGTTACATGATTTTAGATGCTTTCCTTCAACAAAGATTTGCTGTATCTATGTTTACTGAGTAGCATCAGCTCATTTTTCACTTAGCAAGGAAATGCCACCTTGGCAGACCTCTCTGGACAGCCATCCAGACATATTTCTCCTGGCACAATGTCCTATCTCTTAGTGACATTGCTTTCTCCATTTAAGAAAATCTGAAGTATCTGAAATAAAACACATACTAAAAAAATTAAGAAACCAATATATATACCTATATATATATATATATATATATATATATATATATACGTGTATATAAAGACAGAGACAGAGACAGCAGAGACAGAGAGAGACAGAGAGAGAGAGAGAGAGAGAGAGAGAGCGCACAAACAGTGTTGGTAATATCGTATTTTAGAGGATATATTCAGGAGCCAGCCTTCCTGAATCCATGCTCTGTCCCTTGTTAGATGTATTATTATTATAGTTTAGATATAAAGTGTCTTGCTAATAGGTTCATATATTAAAGGTTTGGATCCCATCTGCTGACTCATGAGGCCGTTAACTGTATCTATAGATCAGTCCTTGGATAACTTCATAGCAGAATACATTATCTAAAGTTGGGTTCTGACTGGAGGAAGTAGACTCTGGGAGCATGCCTTTGAGGGGTACACTTTGTCCTCAGACCCTTCTTATCTCAGCTCCCACCAGCCATGCTATGGGCCTCTTTGTTCCACCTCGTGTTTCCAAGCCATGATGTTTCAGAACTCATAATGATGGAGTTAACCAACAATAGAAGGTCCAAAACTGTGAGCCAAAATAAATCCTTCACCTCTTTACGTTATCTCAGGTAGTTCACATGAGCAGCTGATCAACACAGTTAGCATAAGCAAGTTACCAAGCCTTCCCTGGATTCTGCCTTGCTCATCTATAGAACAGGAATAGTATCCCTGCCAATTGCATGGGGCTATACAAGGAGTGGGAGAATATAATATAGAATATCTTGGATAATGTTAGGTATATAACAAGCACAACATGAGTATTTTATGTAGAATATATAATAAATATATAATAAATCATAGATTTTATAGATGTTATATAATTTTATATATTTATTTATATACTATACAAATAAATACTAAAATTTACAGTAGAATGGTAGAGCTGACCAATATGTATTTCTTTTTTTTTTTTTTTTAATTTTATTTTATTTTACTTGAGAACATACTGTACAGAGGGGTTACAATTACATGGGCAGGAAAATGCATACATTTCTTACCAAGCATTGCAGCCTCCTCCTTTGTTTACCCTTCACCTCCCTTCCCAGCCTCCCCCCTCCCTCCCACCCAATCATACCCCCCCCCCACCGACATTGTGAAGCTGGTTTTGACATGACATTTTGTACTTCTCATTGTTGCAACAGGTCCACCTGAATCCTTAAACGACTTGTTTGTCCCCATCTCCTCCACATGTTATACTGACATCAAATATAGTGAAAGCGGGGGTTACACTGTGGGGGAGGGACATACAAAGCAACAAAGAAATAATCTTATAAATGCGTTAGAAACACATGCATGAAAGAAACAAAAACATTAAAATACATATTTGAGGTTTCGTTTTCCTAACATCACATTATCTGACTTTTTCCGCTTGACTCATACCTATACTAGATATTGCAAATAAGGGAAACCATGGGACCTATGTTTCTTTGGGCCTGGCTTACTTCACTTAATATAATTTTTTCCAAGCCTTTCCATTTCCTAACAAATGGGGAAATGTCATTCTTTCTGATGGAGGCATAGAATTCCATTGTGTATATATACCACATTTTCTTGATCCATTCATCTACTGAGGGGCATCTGGGTTGGTTCCATATCTTAGCTATGGTAAATAATGCTGCAATAAACATAGTTGTGCTAGTAGCTTTAGTGTGGTCTTGTTTGTGATCATTTGGGTAAATGCCCAAAAGTGGGATTGCTGGGTCATAGGGGAGTTCTATGTGAAGTCTTTTGAGGAACCTCCATACTGCTTTCCAAAGTGGTTGAACAAGTTTACATTCCCACCAACAATGAAGTAAGGTTCCTTTCTGTCCACATCCCCTCCAGCATCTGTTGTTGTTAGAGTTCTTGATTTTTGCTGTTCTAACTGGAGTGAGGTGATATCTCAATGTTGTTTTGATTTGCATTTCTTTTATGGCTAGGGATGTTGAACATTTCTTCATGTGTCTATTGGCCATCCTTCTTTCTTCTTCAGAGAAGCTTCTCTTTAAGTCTTTCACCCACTTACTTATTGGGCAGTTGTTTCTTTGAGGATTTGTTGTTGGGTGGTTTAATTTTTTGAGTTCCAAGTATATTTTAGATATGAGACCCTTGTCCGTTGTATGGCTAGTAAAGATCTTCTCCCAGTCCGTGGGCTTTCTATTGATCTTGCTAGCTATGTCATTTGCCCTGCAGAAGCTCTGCAACCTTATACAATCCCATTTGTCCAGCCTTTCTTTGATTTGTTGTGTTTCCGGGTCTCTATTCAGAAAATTTCGGCCTGTGCCAAGGAGACCCAGGGTTTCTCCTATTCCATCCTGTAATGTTTTCAGAGTGTCTGCTTTGAGTTCAAGGTCTTTGATCCATTTGGAGTTGATTCTGGTGCAGGGTGATATATAAGGATCTAGCTTTAGTTTTCTACATGTAGTTAACCAGTTTTGCCAGCACCATTTACTGAAGAGGCTGTCTGTCTTCCATTCTATTGTTTTAGCTCCCTTATCGAAGATTAGATGGCTATAGGTCTGTAGGTTCATTTCTGGGTTTTCAATTCTATTCCATTGGTCCTGAGGTCTGTTCTTATGCCAATACCAAGCTGTTTTGATTACTATGGCTTTATAGTAGAGTTTGAAATTTGGTATTGATATTCCTCCAGCCGTGTTCTTTCCGTTGAGGAGCGTTTTTGCTATTCGGGGTCTTTTATTGTTCCATATGAATTTTTGGATTGCCTCTTCTGTTTCCTTGAAGAATGAGGGTGGAATTTTGATAGGTATTGCGCTGAATTTGTAGATAGCCTTGGGAAGTATTGCCATTTTCACGATGTTAATCTTTCCAATCCAGGAGCATGGGAGGTTTTGCCATTTTTTAAGTTCTGTGTTGATTTCCTTTTTCAAGATTTTAAAGTTTTCATCATAGAGGTCCTTCACTTCTTTAGTTAAGTTAATTCCTAGGTATTTTATTTTTTGTGGGGCTATTACAAATGGAGTTGCTTTCCTAACTTCAGCCACACTTTTCTCATTGTTGGCATACAGAAAAGCCATTGATTTTTGGGGGTTAATTTTATAACCTGCTACTTTGCCAAAGTTTTGAATCAGCTTGAGTAATTTGGGAGTGGAGTCTATGGGATTCTTTAAATACAAGATCATGTAATCTGCAAAGAGGGAGAGTTTTATTTCTTCTTTCCCTATTTGGATCCCCTTTATGTCTGCATCTTGTCTTATTGCTGTAGCTAGGCATTCTAATACTAGATTGAAGAGAAGTGGAGAGAGTGGGCATCCTTGTCTTGTCCCTGAGTTAAGAGGAAATGGCTTTAGTTTTTCACCATTGAGTATAATGCTGGCTGTAGGT